AACATGAACTGAATGCATTTCAGATCTGTGGGCATATTGTCCACTTCTATCGGGACTAGGAGCAATCTCCCAGACACTCTACACTACCTCACAAGAGTTGGCAACTAAGTTGAATATTTTACATTCTCTCCGAAACATGGACGGCTTACATTTTAGAGTATTCTACAGTGGTACGATTCGGAGGTTGAGTATACCGTTATGCAGTACACAATCTCATGCAGTAGGATTCTAGTATTGTCAAGAATTCAAAGAGCTTGGAAAACCAGGTCCAGAAGTACCTGGAGAACTTCCTAGTACAGCGTTAGAAGATGAGATGTGCGCTGTAGAATGGAGACCGGGGACGAATCGAACTTTCATAAATTTACGGCAATCAATAAAATCCCCACCCTTACCACCGCCACGCATCGAGCTTTATACACGTTATCACTACGTAGGGTGACGTATGCAAGCGAACTTCAAGAGAAAAACCAAAAAGAATTGTTTCATGTCTTAAATAGAAAATTAAATCCAAGAACATATATATACTCCGAGGTATGTGATCGAATAAAGTCGGCGGAAATCCGTCAGATTGTGAGGCGACAGGAGACTGAGAGCCATTGCAGTAGGTACCATTTTTTCACTTCAAGAGTGCATGGCGAAGCAACACACCAGTAAATCAAACAATAGGCCTCATGGCTGGTACAAAGGGAGAGATTTAGGAAGAATTTAGAGGCCCAGTAATTGGTTTCCGTGTACCATGGAACAAAACACCGAACCACAGGGCACACCCAGTAGGTCAGTTTCAACAAAACAGTGTATTACAAGTTCCAACCGCTTGCTCTCAATGGGACGGTCAAGAAATACCAATGATCAAATTACTATTTGTGATTTGATCTCCTTAACTCTTATAGACACTGGTGCCTCCCTGTCATTCGTTGTGGCATTAGTTCTTCAACAAATGGAGGACTGCTTTATAAGGCCATAATACGAGTTTCTCATTGCAGCTGTTTTTGCACCAGAGATGTAATCTTCACAGGACCAGCAACATAGACTTGTTCAGTTTCGTTTATGTCGCACGGTTTGAAAATGGAAAGAAACAACCAAGCACTATGTCTGTATTGGATCTACTTTTCTCGCCCTCAGAGGATCGACATACTTCATGAACTGGCTTCGGGGTACTGACACATATATATTGATAGAAACACCAGTCAAATACAGTACTCAAACCGACAACAGTGTATAAATTTCAGCTCATATCGTTTTTGGCAACGGATTCAACTGCTAGTTTTAGTTGCACATGCATAAGGTGTTGGCCGATAGAATGAAAATAAATGATGCAATTGGTTATGAAAAGTCATCAAACAAGCACCTGCAGAACCGGACAGATACACCTTCATGGGTGTCTGAAAGTGGTCCTAAGCTTAACCTTTCCTAATAGCTGTTCAAGTGACCACAGGGTCATCTATCTGAAGCGCGTACTAAGATGGGCGTTGGCGCGGAGCCTTGAAACACCAAAAAAGGCAACGGTTCACTTCATATTCTAGAAGGTTCAAAGTTCATTAATGCAAAAGTAACAACAGAACTTGACGTGTTGCTTGAAACGGGAGCATTTCAGTGAGAGCGAGCTGATCTCTCTTCAATTTCAGTTCTGGCCTTTGGCAATAGATCACTCTCAACCGGCAGATTCGTCTCCGACGTGGACGCTAAAGATGTGGCGATCGACGCAGTGGTATCCCAATCAGGCAGCGATGGAAGTGAATGTTTTATAGCTTGTGGTAGTCGTATTCTAAATAATTTTGTGGGTAACTAGAATGCAACTAGATAGGAGTGATGGCATAGGTTTATTTAATAGAGCACTTTCGACACGGTCTTATAGACGGGAAATTCACTGTGCCTATAGAGTACCGCCGATTGTAGTGGCTGAAAATCCTTCTTACTCCGATCAACAAATAGTGAAGTGACAAGCAGCATTGCCAGAATGTGGACTTGAGTATTAATACTGTAACATGAAGAAGCAGATGCGTTGTCCAAAGTACGTCACAGCGGTGAGTCTGGATTAAGTAGCATACTAACGATAGAGTAGTATGCAGGTCACAGGTGTGAATGCTGCCTTTTTCTATCTCAGAGCAATCAAATGAAACCAGATAAAGGCAAATGCTAGGACCCGGATACAAACACAATTGCCGATACTTTCGTTATTTGAGGTTATTTTGAATCGCAAACAGGCTTCAAAACATTTTCTAAATTCTTCTCAACAATTTTACGGCATATTGTGAAAAGGTTTGCAGTTTTATCTGAAATTTATTTTGAGCAGTTTCGTTTAAGTTTGTGACCCTGACGCAATGTCGGCTGGTTCCAAAAAGCTACGTGTCTTGCTGAGAAGGTACTCACAAATAACGTAGACTCGTTTCAGCAAAGCGTAAAAGATTGATTGAAGAACGATACTGGATCGGGGATACTATTAGTTGAGAATACTTTGGTGAGCTTCAGCATTTCATACGGTTTCATTTGTCTATTCAGACCTGTACCAGTGATACTGACACCTCCTACCAACGGATTCGGTGACCTTACTCATGTTAATAATTTAAATAATTTTTGCACTGCATATCTACGCAGCGTCCCAATCGATATATATTACCAAACACATATTATTTATGAGTAGTAAACTTACAATTGCCCCGGGTTCGAACTGCTCCACCGCCGCCCGTCTTTCCCGTTTCTGTATTTTCCCAGGCAGCCTTTGAATGGCCTCAGCCCCCTTCCTGAATGTTGACTGTACTTCGTATATTCAATAAAAGTGTAAGTAAAAAGACATTTATTTATTTTAATTTTATAGTAACCGAACCTGTTTGTAAGCTCGTCAAAACTGACTCTAGTCGACGAA